TGGCAGCACCACTGAGCTAAATCCCCAGCCCTCTTGCCTTTTCTTTAAAACTGAGGAAAATGTGGCATTATTGAGCCCTGCCCTGTACCCAGGAACAGTCAGACTGTGTCGATGGCTGTGTTGTCCTTCTGTTCCCATCGTTGCGCATTGTGTCCTGCCAAATCCCTGGAGTAAGAAATTAGGTAGAGTCTACATTTTGGTGCTTGTTGGGGACCACAGTGTAGGTCTTCGGAACAATAAGATCTGTTCCAAAAACAAAAACGCTGCACTAACTGCTCAGGATAAGATCCCACTTATCAGGAAGGAATCACTGACTTCAAATTAATTCTTAGCTTGTGACATCTTTTGTTTCGAGACAGGATCTCACTATGTAGCCCAGGCTGGCCTTGGATTCAAAGTGATCCTTCTGCCTCAGTCTCCCCCAAGTGCTGGGATTACAAGTGTGTGACACCATGCCTGGCTTGAAAATTATATTTTAAACAATTATTTATGCAGTTATTTGATTACCGTCTCCCCCATTAGATGACAGCTTCATGAAGGCAAATGCCATGTCTATCATATTCAGTGACAGAGTGGGGGACAAGTGTGTGACTTGTGCAAGCTTCCTGGCCCTGACTCATGGTCCAGCTGGCAAAAGCCAGTATGCCATTTATCGGAAATCCTCTGGAGCAGTCCTCAGGACTCTAAGAACAATTTTTTTTTTTTTTTTTTTGCCTTGTTCCTGTTTGCTTTGTTTTTGAGAGTTTTACTCTGTTGCCTAGGTTGCTCTTTAATGCTGGGGCACAAGTGATCCTCCTGCCTCAGTCTCCTAAGAAGCTGGAATTACTTAATATAGGAGCACATTGTTGCCGCCAGCCATCCTCAAACTCGTGTACATTTTTTTTGTTTTGTTTTGTTTTTTGAGACAGGGTCTCAACTATGTAGTTGAGACTGACCTGGAACTCACTGTGTAGCCCAAGCTGGTCTTGAACTCATAGCGATCCTCCTGCCTCAGCCTCCCGAGTGCTGGGATTACAGGCGTGCACCACCCCACCCCCGGCGATTTTTTTTTAAATTTTTTAAATTTTTTTTTTGGTACCGGCGATCGAACTCAGGACCTTGCATTTGCAAGGCAGGCACTGGAACCACTGAGCTAAATCTCCAGCCCTGTGTACATTTTAAGAATTGCATGATGTCTTGGTTCAGGTGGCTATGTCAAATTAGCATAGACCAGTGACTTGAACTACAAATGTTCCTTTCCCAAGTTTCTAGAGCTGCAAGTCCAAGATCAAGGCCCCAGCACATCCTGCCTGTGGTGATGGCCTCTCACGCACTTCCACTGTGGAGAGCACAGAATGAGGGCAAACTCTAGTTTCCCTTCTTATCAGGAAAAATCATCATGACCTAATTACCTCCAAAGGCCCTACCTCCTAGTAACACCACACTGGGGTTTAGAATCTCAACAGAAGAATAGAAGGAATGAGCTGGGCGTGGTGGTGCACGCCTGTAATCCCAGCACTCAGAGGCTGAGGCAGGAGGATCACTGTGAGTTCAAGACCAGTTTGGGCTACACAGTGAGTTCCAGGTCATTCTCAACTACATAGTGAGACCCTGTCTCAAAAAAACCAAGGGGGTGGGAAGGAATGAAGGTCTGGGGATTTAGCTTAGTGTCATGGTTCCTTTCTCTGTCCTGAGTTCGATCCCCAGTACCCCCCCCAAAATAATAATAAAAATTTTAAAATGGAAGGAATGAGAGCCAGGCATGGAAGATCAAAAGTTTGAGCCAGTCTCAATAATTTATGGAGACCCTGTCTCAAAATAAAAAGGCTGGAGATATAGCTTAGTTGAAGGCCCTAGTTTCAATCCCCAATGCTGAAAAAAAGAAAAAATGTGGGGTGGCTAAAACATTCAGTCCATAATACTTGGGCTTTTATTTATTTTATTTATTTATTTTTAGTGCATACTCTGGCACCTTAGGCCTAGAGAGCATGTTGACAGACATAGATGTATAACCATTAAAATTTTTTTTCCTTTTTGGCAGTATGGGCCACTGAACCCAGAGTATGTGCAGTGAGCTACATCCCTAGACCTTTTTAAAAATTTTTGAAACAGGGTCTCACTAAATCACTAAGTTTTTCAAATTTGCGGTTTTCCTGCCTCAGCCTCCCAGAATGCTAGGATTATAGGCATGTGCCACCATTCCCTGTAATGGTTCCAGTATGCTTAGAACTTTCCTTAGTTTTTGAAAAGGGTTGAGGCGGTAGGCATCACAGAAAAAAGAAGTTCAATGGTTGAGACAGGAGGATCACCGGTTCTAGGTCAGCCTGGACAACTCAGCAAGACTGTCTCAAAATAAATAAATAAATAAACAAACAAACAAATAAATGAATGAATAAATAAATAAAATAAAGGGGGAGGATATTAAACTGGGAATGTAGCAAAGAATGAGGCTGTAGGATCAGGGGCTTTGGAAACGGCCAGGGTTTAGCTCAGTGGTGCCACCCCCTGCCTCACAAGCACAAGGACCCGAGTTCGATTAAAAAAAAACAAAAACAAAAAACTGTGATGAGGGAATTTGTCAAGGTGAAAAGTCAGGCTCGTGATTTTACAGGCATCAGTTACACTCAGCAGACAGCAGAAATTGTTTTTAGCAGTGACTGTGGCCTTGGCCAAGGCATCTTTGCATTGGAAGTTGGCTCTGCTTCTGAAGCCTGACTGGGCACAGTCACACGTTGGTACCGACTGCTTTGAAATTCAGCAAATTTGGTGCTCAATATTCTGACATAAAAATTTGGTTCTGGTACTTCAGTACTCAATGGGCAAGCAAGCTAGAACCTCTGTACTGCCTTGTGACCCCCCCCCCCCCCGAGACAAGGTCTTACTATGTTGTCCCAATCTGACCTTGAACTGTGTACCTCATGGAGGTCTCAAACGCACAGTGATCCCCCTGCCTCAGCCTCCACAGTGCTAGGATTACAGGTGTGCACCACCATGCTGGGCTTTACTCCCTTTCCCACTATAAACAGTTTGTGTGGGACTTGTCCTTTTTGGTACTCGTCACAAATGTGATGAGAGTATTGCTTTGGAGTCAGGTTAACATGTAGCACTCCTGCTCACCCTGTGACCTTAATCTTTTCATCTCTTCAGTTTCCTCACTTTTGCAATGGGGCCGTAATTGCCTACCTCACAAGATCTTTGTGATAACTGAGACAGTGTAACCAAAACAGAATGCTGACTGGCACCTAGTAAGTGTGTAACTAGTAAGGGCAAGTTACTCCTCCCGGACTCTGAGTGCCAGACCTAATTGCCTTTCTCTGTATCCCAGGGTCAAATACAGGTTCTGGCTCAGCAAATGCTGAATTAACGAATGAGGGACAAAAGACTAAACTTACAAACTCCAGATACAATGCCAAGCATGTAATCCTACCTCTTGGAGGCTGAGGCAGAAGGATGGCCATGATTTTGAGGTTCACCTAGGCTACTGAGTTCAAGGCCAGCCTGAACTACAGGGAGACCCTATCTCCAAACAAATTAAAAAACCCAGGTACCATCATCCATCAGATACTGTTTTACAATTAACTTGGATAAGCAGCAATTTTTCTAAGTGAGAAATAGATCCAATAAAGAATTAGGAAAAGCTCTAGGCACAGTGGGACGCATGCCTGTAATCCCAGCAGCTCTAGGAACTGAGGAGGATCCTATTTTTGAGGCTAGCCTGAGCAACTTAGTGAGTCCCTGTCTAAAAAAAAAAAAAGGGCTGTGGAAGGACATGGGTCAATCTGTGGACCCGGAAGTCAACTGCCAGTGCCACCAAAAAATAAACAAAAAGGCAGGGGCTGGGTCTAAGACCATATATGAAATATGCTGTCTTTAGGAGGCAAGAGATAATTATCCATGAGATAACTGTTGTTGTGAGATACAACTTGGAGGTAAGGTCCAACCCACTAGATATATGCAGGGGTTCGATCCAAGTCCTTGGCTTAACAGGCAAATGGCAAAAACTCGTGCTGCTCACCCAGGACCAATGCAGCAGGTTATAGGAAACTGCTGACCCGCCTTTCTTTATAGACATTCTTTACAGTCCTACTGGGGCAGTGAAGAAGGAGGAACCTAACCAGGCCCTTCACCCCTGCGAGGCTGGACATGGGAGCAGCAGAAGCCCCAAAGTCCTAGGCCACTGAGGACATATGTGGCTTTGCTGATTTCACTTTTGAGCTGCAGTAAGATCTTACTGTCCACTGGGAGTGGTAGCTCACCCACAGGCTTCTGAACATTACCAGGACAACAACTGCTCTTACACCTGAGTCCCCGCCTTTTGTTTTTGGGCTCTCTACCCTGAAATGCCCCTTCCCAAGTTCTGCTATGCTACCAACAGAAACCCAATATCCTTTAAGGCCCTGGCCCAAGATTCAGGTCTCTGCCTCAACCCAGGAAGCAGGCATCTTGTAACCAACTTCTGTTCCCTAACACAGAAAGGAAGACAGACACAATATGTGGAGTTTTGTGTTTTATTTAGACATGGGATTTTTATTTTTGTATAACTTATCTAATTAAAATATTCATCTTGGTAGTTACCACAAAAAAGTAACATAGAAAATTGTATTTACATTTTGGGACCAAAATACAAATGAAGAGCAGGACAACACCTTGCTCCTTCCCCTCCTGCCTCTAAGAAAGAAAGAAAAGCCCCAGAGAACCTGCCCGTCACGCTGAGGATCACAAAGGGCTAACCTGTGTTTGGTGATTCATGTGTAGTGTAGCACAGAAAAAAATTGCACGAAGCTTCACAAAAGAGACCAAAGGTTCCACATCTGCACCTGTTCTGTAGCCACTCCACCGAGCCGGCGCGGTGCCGCCTAGAACTCGGTGTTCAGCCCACTCTTCTCCCCAAGTCACATCCCTGGCGCAGAGGCGCAGAGGGGGACGGTGGGAGATCTGGCTCTTCGCCAACAAGGTTCAGCACTTTATGTGCCAAAAGTGGATACTGACGTTGGGATGGACAAATTTGTGTCCTTTCTTCCTTTCCCATTTAAAGACTCCTAATAAGGGGATTTATCTCATACACAACTGAACTTGAAAACTGAAAAACTGGTTCAATGGCAAAAAATCCGAGACATAGCTAAGAGACAAATTCAAGGTGATAGACACCTACAGGGAGCTATTCCAGGCAGCAGGTGCCTGGCACCTGATCGAAATGTTCATTTAGTTTCAGGTAAGAGGTTTTGTAATATTAGATCTGGGGCCTGGGCTGGGGGTAGGGGTGTAACAAGCCAAATCAAAAGAATGCTTTACTCAATTAAAAAATACAGCAAATTAAAATGCAGCAATACTTGTGTCCACCCCAACAAGCACCCTGCACACCACACACTGAGGAATGCAGACTTCCTGTGGGGCCCTGGAATCCAGGTTAGCCTAGCGGAGTTCTCCAAGATGGTGAAAGTGGAGGCTCCGAATTCTAGGCCTGAGAGAGCTTGTGGAGGGGACTGCTGGCCAAACTGAGCAGGCTGGCTGGTATACTATGCCCTAAGGGTGCGCTATAGGTTTCTAAGGTTCCACATCCCAAGCCCTTAGCATCTATGTTCATCTTGGTCACCACCAAGCAATCCTTCTAGGTCCACTTTCCTTGACGGCCAGGAAGAAGTGGACATGGCCCACCTAGTTCTGACCTTGCCCCTATGTCACGCAGAAAGCAAGAGCCTCCCCTCCAACTTGATGGATGCCCTTGCGGTTCCCATGACCCAACACAACAGCTCAGAAAGTCTCCCTAGGCAGCCCCTTCCTCTAGTCCTGGCTTAAACACTAAGCATAGAGGGCTTGAGCTGTAGAGTTTTCTGCCAGACACAGCAAATTGTTGTGCTCTTCTAGTTACTCAATCTTATCTTTCAAAGAATAGACAAAAACAAAAGCAATTTCCAACAGAGCACTGCAACTTTAAAAACCATTCACTTCTAGCGGCAATTCATGGGGACCAACATTAAAGTGCTGGCTTTTAAAACTCCAAAGCCACATTCGAGGCTTTATGAAAAACCCTGCTATGCCTGTGTTTTTTTCTGTGGTGGGGCCCAGCGAGCTGGGGGAAGGTCACCTAAAATTTAATCAGAAACTGGAAATAATAAAATTGCTGATTCTGTGCAAATTAATCTCTCAAGGTTCTATGTCCTCAGTGAGCCTTATTAAAAAAAAGTGGGGGGGGACGACTTACAAAGAAGATGGTGGAAGAACTCAACTTTACAAAGAGCCTCCCTTAATAAATACAACTGAGTGGGTTAAAAAGAGGCACCTGCATAGGACTCCGAGCAACGCTGAGGAGGGGCTCAGGGAGAGGAGCCCCCAAACACTGCTGTCTCCACGCCAGGCTCCCCCTGAGGATGGGCTCGACACTCACTTCTGGCCCTGTGCACCGCACAGGCTGCAGGGCTGCCCAGTCCTCCCTGTAGAGTCCACTCTGGAGGGCTAACCTGGGATGGGGAATAGCTTTCATTGAGCTTCAATAAAGGACTTGGGAAAGAAAAGGCTGTGTGTGGTAAAGGACAAAACAACAAATCCCCCAAAAGAACTCTGGGGGTGATATAAATACAATCTGGGGGCAATATTTATTAATTAAAACTATGTCTTATAGTTTACAAAGATTCTAATTATCAACAAAAGTATAATTGACCTTAAAATCCTCAGCGAGACCGAGGCTTCACATCGTCTTCAGAATTCTGAAGTGTGCTCCGGGCAGGGTGCAGGGCTGTGGCACACAGGGCCAACACCTGCAGATGTGCAGGACTCGGAGCCTAGAAGGTTTCTGGTCTCCTTGGGAAGGCTCAGTCCCCAGTCCCCATCGTCCCTGTCTCCCAAAGTCCATCTCCAAGGCAAGTCCTCAGTTTACCGCCTAGAGAATCTATTCTTGAAGGCTTTAATCGTCTTGGCCATCATTGGGGCAATTTCTGTGAAGAGAAAGGCATCAGCTGTTTTAGACGGGAGCAGCTCAGACACACCCACAACAGTTTACAACCAAAGCCAAGCCACACCTTGACCCTCGTGGCTGTGTGTGAAACCGGTGGACACAACACTGTGGTATCAGCAACAGCACTCAGGGGACCCTGGCCAAGGCCCTGTCAGGCACCAGCCATCACCCTGCCTAATTCCAGCCACCTACACCACAGCTCAGGCAGAATGGCCAGTGTGCCCAGGGTGAACTGTGACAGCAGACTGGAGCTCAATCCTTGCTGACTCTGAAGGCTAATCTCCTCACAATTGAACTCTGCCTCACGAAAGTCAAACCAGTCAACAGCACCCTCTTCCCCAAATGCCCAGTGTAGCAACAGGTCCAGGATGAGCTATGCAAACCCCATCTAAGGAGGGCCAGCCTGCCACCTGACTGGGTCACTGGAGTGTAGCTGACAATCTGGGATCCCCACCCCATGGGCCCTACACAGGCTATGTAATAATGTGTTTCTCGCCGGGTGTGGTGGCGCGCACCTGTAATCCCGGCACTCGGGAGGCTGAGGCAAAAGGATCGCTGTGAGTTCAAGACCAGCCTGGGCTACATAGTGAGTTCCAGGTCAGTCTCAACTATACAGTGAGACCCTGTCTCAAAAAACCAAAAAAAAAAAAAAAGTGTTTCTCAAGTTAGACACCCCTTAGGATACTGAGGCTAGTCTATGCTAATAAAGTTAAAATACAAAACAGACCCAAACAGATATCCAAGCTATTTGGAAGCTAGGATTATAAGGTTATAAGGCCTCAGAATAACTGATTTTTCATTTAGCTGTTAGTAATTAAGACTCCTCCTATTGCCTAAAGAAACATTTTTACACTTAGGTGAAAAAAGCGAAGTGAGGAAATGAACATTCACTGTGATCATCACTTAGAAGATATTTATGGCCGGGGATTTAGCTCAGTGGTACCGCACCTGCCTCATAAACACAAGGTTCAATAAGCACAGAGTTCAGTTCCCAGTACCAAAAAAAGATATTCCTGTGTGGCATGGACACAGCAGAGGAAGAGCTAATCTTCAGAGCAGCTGGTGCCAAGGACCCTACAGATGCTACACCCTACACACAAAATGCAATCCAATGGTAATGACATTCAAAGAGGTTCAGACATGAGTTCTGAATATCTGAGCAGGAGATCAAGTTACTTACTCTTCACAGCCGGTTTTCTAGGATCATAGGAAACAGTACTGCTGACCACTGGTGCCAAATGGGCACTGCTGGTACTGGGGCCATCGTAGGCTGGCTCCTCCAGGCTGGAGTTAAAATTGTTGCTGCTGGTGGGAGTGTGGCTGCTTCCTGTGGTGTACGGGGCTGGCTTAATCCTACAACAGAGCAAAGTTAGTTAGCCACGGGCAGGAGGAGGTGTCCTCTTCACCAACAGCCTAAAGCTGCCTGTTGCAGGATGACTCGCTGTGGCTTGACAGTGGACGTAGCACCTGGGTGCTAGTGGTACCTCAGAGGCAACTGTGTAGCCCTTTCTTTTTAATGTTTTGGTACCTGAAATCGAACTCATGTCCCTGCACTTGCCAGGCAGGTGGCGGAACCACTGAGCTACATCCCCGGCTGCATAGCCCTCTCAAAGAGAACAGTGGTCTCAGCTGACCTTTACTGTTTAGCTATCAGTCTGCACTTCGAAAGCATTCAGGTGTAGGTCTGCGGGTGTGGTTAAGGCATAAGGGAGCACTTCCACAAGCCAGACCTATTCTCCACTGAATCGACACTGATGCCAATTACAGAGGCAGAGACCATCACCCACACTACAGTCCCCAGCTGGGGCTCAGGGAAGTACATTCTTCACTGGTCAGGATCGGCCCCAGAACCCATGCTCCCTTCCCACTGCCTGCTTTCATCCTCCAAAATGGTCACTTCCTGCCTGCGCTCCAGCTCCCTCCTAGCTTTGGAGCTCTCTTCCCTGAGCAGGCAAAGGTCAGGCAGAAGCAGCATCTTACTTGATTTTCTCATGGATAACTACTCCTCCTGTTCCAAACTTCTCCTGCCTCCGCCGGACATCACGAGGTGGCTTGGCCACAGAGTTGACAAAGGCCATCTTTGCTTGCCTGCCTGTGGACGGATATGAAGATTAATATCTATCTTCTTACCAAGAGATAAAAGGAGGGGGAGGCATGCAAAAAGACGTGTAATGTACACATATCAACTTCCCATGATAAGTATAATCATTATGTAATATAAACAAGTACTAAAATAAAAATTTTTTAAAATCTGCCTTCTTGAGCAGAGATGCTGCTATCATTTAAATCTATAGGGTTGGTTAGCTGGGCATGGTAGCACACACCTGCAATACCAGCACTAGGGAGGCTGAGGCAGGAGGATCACTGTGAGTATGAGACCAGCCTGGGCTACATAGTGAGTTCTGGGTCAGTCTCAACTACATAGTGAGACCCTGTCTCAAAAAAAAAAAAAAAAATTCTATCGGCTCAAAAGCCCCCATACAAGAGGACTAACAGTCCCACTGACAATGACAATCCTACTGCAGGGCAGCATCGGGCTGTGGCAGAAGGAAGACCCACCCACAAAGGAGAAAGACATTCAGAGGCCCAGTGGCCCTACATCTGCCTGGCCCACCAAGACCCTACTGCCAACTATAGTATCCACTTGCTGGCTTGTCCCCAGCTACCCCTCTCCCTTACCTTTGGGCTTATTGGCATGTGCAGATCGGATATTCTTTGTTAGGACTCGTAGCCGCTGCTCTCTGGCATCCTGAAGCCGCAGGTACATTTCCCGCCATGATTCATACTCTTCTGGTCTTTCTTCTTTAAAGTCGCGGTGACAATGAACTTTCCATAATTGATCTGTTTCTTCAATTAAAACCTGAAATCAGGACCAGGGCATCATTTACGTACATGCACTCTTACATCTTCCACCTAGGAGCTACTGGTTTATTAATAATTTTTTGTCTCTGTTGTATCATATTAAAATATCACTGTTCTAAGAAAAAAAATCATTAAATTTTTAAAAAATGTTAAGTGTGAGGTACTCTGTTAGTAGCTTTTGGGTGGTTGTGAGAGAAGCCAATAGAAAAACTAGGTTAGAATGAAACTTTTCCTATAGGAAATCAGTAAAGGGTAGAGCTGGGATGAAGTCAGATCAAGCGTTTCCTTGGCACTACACTGAACAGCCATAGCAAGGGGGCCACGTAAGGACCGGATGTAATTCACGTCTCCAAACCTGAGAGACAGCTAATTCAACCAGATGAGTGCATTTGCATCACAGGGAGGATTCTGGAAGGTCCGGATGCCTCTAGGAGACGGCCAGCCTGTGCACTGTACTCCCCTGCTCCACATATTGGGGATTGAATGCAGGGTACCCCAAACACACTTTTATTTTGGGACAGGGCCACTAAGTTGCTAAGTTGCCCAGGCTGGGTTCACAATGTCCTGCCTCTGCTCCCAGGGTGCTGGGATTACAGGCACTCACCAACACACCTGCCCAGTCACCAGACACCTTAATGTTAACACCGAGCATAACTTCGCCCTGAGTCTCAGGCACTCTGCTGCCAGAATCCTCCCTTCACGACTAGAAAAGCTCAAGGGAGGTGTTGAAGTGTTTTTCACTTTCTTTGAATCCCACCCTGATGCTAGCCCAAGAGGCCTACTTAAGATATCAGGAGCAGGTGCTAAATATACTTGTTTAAAGGTCCAGAGGCAGAGGCGGACCCAACATGGGCAGAACAGTGATCTGACCACGGGTCTGCCCTTCAGCCACAGCAGGTCCACAGAGACAAAGCTATTTCTAGAGACACAAGCCAGAAGGCAGCCCTCTTCCCACCTACAGAGGACACTCACATGATTGTATTCCTCTATGCGATACAGCTGATCAGGCGTACACCTCTCCAAAACGGGTTCGAGAACGGAATAGGGGACTCCTCCCACTTCAAAGATGGCTGTGGAGAAATCCAAAGTGAGAGCACTGAACGGTGCCAACCCTGCAGTAATAAGGTCCCGGCCTGACAATGTGACTTACAGTCAATGTTGTTTTTGAGTACGCGGATGCACTGCTGGTGCAAAGTCATCATTCTGGGGAGGTAGGCGCACTTGGAACCAGAGTACACCTGCATCTTAGAGTTCATTCTTCGCCCAGTGAATCCAGCTTCTTCTTCTTCCTGGGGCGAAGAGAATGCTATAGGGCAAGAAAAACCCAAAAGGGTATCACAAAAGGCCCTAGGCCATGAGTGAAAATTCTCCTTCCACCCTTGTCCTCAGACTCTCCCATTACCCTTCTCAAAGACAAACAATGCCATCAGGGACTCTAAAATAAACAAATGTGCATCTCATTCCTTTTCAACCGATTAGTGACAATTATACACGTTATTTTTTTCATTTGCTTTTTTTGGTGGAAGAGGTCAATACTGAAGATTAAACACAGGGACTTTACACTGGACACATCCCCATTGTTTTTTTCTTTTGGTACCTGGGATCGAACTCAGGTCCTTGTGCTTGCGAGGCAGGTGGCAGAATCACTGAGCTAAATCCCCAGCCCTCCCCACTGTTTTTTTTATTTTGAGACAGAAGTCTTACTGGGCTCAAACCTGTGATCCTTTTGCCTCAGCCTCCCAGAGTGCTGGGATTACAAGTGTGTGCCACGGTAAACACATGGTAAACATGGATTAACATGTTTGACCATTCAACACATTTTAGAAACTGTGCCATGCCAGTCTGTAAATAATGTCCATATTTTTCACAATGGTGTAAGAGGCCCCTGTCTGTATGAGCCACAATTTACCTGCTAGTCTCCTGCTGATAGACAATTATGTGGGTTCTTATACTTTTGCTATCAAAACAAGACATTTTTTTGCCAATTTGTGGTGGTGCACACTTCTAATATCAGTATTCAGGAGGCTGAGGCAGAAGGATCTCTGTGAGTTCAAGGCAACCCTGAACTACACAGTGAGACCCTGCCTCAAAAACAAAACACGAGACATATTTTTAAAACATAAAGATCACATACAGCAAATCCCATACAGAATAAAAAGGTGCTAATAACAGCAACACCTAAAATTTACTAAACACTATGCTAAGTGCATTACTGGCATTATCACTTTTTAATCTATTTAACAACCCTATGAGTCAAACACCATTATTATTCCCATTTGCAGAACATGAAACAAGTCTAAAAAAATTAAGATACTACCCAAGATTGGGTTTGGGGTATAGCTCAATGGTAGAGCACTTGTCTGGCATATACAAGGCCCTGGGTTCAATCCCTACCACACACACACTAAACAAAGACACACAGAGAAAAAATCATCCAAGGTCATAGAACTTGTAGAAACCAAGCCGGGCATGGTGGCGCAGCCTGTAATCCCAGCACTTGGGAGGCTGAGGCAGGAGGATCGCTGTGAGTTGGAGACCAGCCTGGGCTACATAGTGAGTTCCAGGTGGGTCTCAACTACATAATGAGACCCTGTCTCAAACAAACAAACAAACAAACAAATAAACAAAGAACTTGTAGAAACCATGCTGGAATTCAACTTGAGCCATCAAACTCCAGAGCCTACGCTCTTTAGAACTGCATCCAGTAACAGTGTTATGGTTAACAGATCATGAATGACTTTCTACATCTTTTCCTGTTTGAAAAAACATGTAGAACATTACCTTTTCGTTTTGCCTGGGTGGAGGACATGAATTCAAGGGAAGGAAGTGGGCGGTAATTGGCCTGGATTGTGGATAACGGGAGGTCCGGCAACACCGGCAATGCTTCGGTGGGGACCTGTAGAGGAGAGACAGTGATGGAGAGCCCGTCCACAGCACAGCTCTTTCCTACAGTCAGCTCCTAAAAGTGTCCACACAGCCCACTTCACAGGCAGATCCAGGCTGGAGGAGGCCAGTCACGAGACACCACCGGAAATACACAGTCGGGCCTAGCACAACAGGACACCTCAGGAAATTTCTACTGACCCCAATAGTTAGTCAGGCCAGGAGGAAGCTCACTGCAAAGTGAAATCCAACGGGCCCTATACAAACACACTGAGAAGAGCGGCAGGTGGACTCTGTGCACCCTGAAGGGCCCTGGGTCCTAGTGGGGTGCACCGGGAGCTAGAGGGTTACCTTTCTCAGCCTGGCTGAATCAGCTCCAATTGGCTGCGGCTTCTCAGATTTGTTCTCATTCACCTTGGGCAATTTCTGAACTGAGTCCAAGTTTTTACTAGTGCTTTTAGAATCACTCTTTTTAAGTCCTTTTTCTCCAGATGCTGTAGCTGAAGTTTTCACAATCTTTTTCTTTTTCTTGCGGGGCTGGTCATAGCTGAGGTACGATTCAAATGACATGGTGGGCTGCTCAAATTCATCATCCATGTCCGTCTCCTCTACTTTAAGGAGCGAACCGCCCAGCGACCTTCTATCTGAATTAGAAGTTTTTACTTTCCCTTCTTGAGCCTTAAGGTTGTTAGAAACCTTTTCTCTTGTTTTGGGCAGGTCTCCTGCCCCTTTTCCTATGTCTAAGCCATGTGCACTTTGTTTGTTTTTGTCTGACTTGGTTTTCTCTGAGTCCTTGTGCTTTGGCTTTTTAAGTTGGTTGTCTGAAGCAACCTCCACAGAGGGCACACACTTCTTTTTGAGGCTGCTGCCTTCTCTTTCCTTCTCTTTCTTCACAGCACTGGAGTGCAGTTTCTCCTTGGTGCTGTCCCCTGAGAGTGGCCTTCGGTTTTCCTCTCTGGTGAGGGCCTTGTGCGGTTTTTCTCTGCCCAAAGAGGACTTCTCATCACTCTTGGCTTCTCTGGAGCGTTTCTCCTTATGGGAAGATTTGTGCTCCTTGTGTGGGTTCGCAGTCCCTTTCCCTTGGGGTTCGCCCAGGTGTCGCTCTTGGCTGACCGCCAGTCTATCCTGAAAGGCATTGCTGTGGCCTTTTCCAGGTTTCTGATGGGGAACAGTGGGCTCGTGGTCCTCCTCTGGGGACCTGTAATGGTCTGTGCACATCTGATGGGGACTGCCAGAGGACACAGGGGACTGGACATGGCCACAGTCAGAAGACTCAGGGTCTGAAGAGTATGCTGGTGACACTCGGAGACACCGCTTTCTCTCATCTCTCCTCTCATGACTGTGAGACACTTTGTGAGATCTTTCAAGCGCTGGGAGCTTTTTGTGTTTTTTCTGTCTGTGCTCGGGGCTATAGGATTGGCTGCCAGAAGCCTTCCAGTTTTCCTGGTAGTCCTCTTCCATCTCTTCATCCCTCTGAAGAGCTTCCCGAGGGCGCTTCCGTGAACTGCTCTTCTCAAAGTCCTGTTCCTCAGCCTCATTGTTTCTGAAAAAGTAGATATAAATCTCAGTGTAATCTCTGTACAAAGTCACAGGCCTTGCCAGGCGTGGTGGCACACCCCTGTAATCCCAGTACTTGGGAGGCTGAGGCAGGAGGATCACTGGGAGTTCGAGGCCAGCCTGGGCTACATAAGTGAGTTCCAGGTCAGTCTCAACTACACAGTGAGACCCTGTCTCAAAAAAAACAAAAAACAAACAAACAAACAAACAAACAAAAAAGTCACAGGCCTTGAACTCACAAAAAAGGTAAAGATGCAGTTAGAAATAAGAGCACAGTAAGTGGATTATGCTTAAAGTACTCAACTAGGTTTACTTTATTTATTTTTAGTTTTAGTTTTTGATACCAGGGATCGAACTCCTGTCCTTGTGCTTGCAAGGCAGGCGGCAAAATCACTGAGCTAAATTCCTGGCTCAACTAAGTTTAAAAACTGGGAAAATGAAGAGGGGGAGGTGGGAGAAGGAAAGTCTTGAAAATATATTCAGAAAACAAAATTGGGAAAATCCCATGTGCCACATACCCATGATGAATGCAATCATTATATACTGCAACCATGTACTAATAAAAAGAAAAAAGAAGCCGGGTGTGGTGGCACATGCCTGTAATCCCAGGCTGAGGCAGGAGGATCGCTGTGAGTTCCAGACCAGCCCGGACTACTTAGTGAGTTCCAGGTCAGTCTCAACTACATAGTGAGATCCTGTCTCAAAAAACATAAAAACAAAAAAAACAAAAGAAAGAAAAAAGGAATTGGGGAAATAGCCAACTGTGGTGGTACCCACCTGTAATCTCAGCACTGTGGGAAGCTGAGGCAGAGGAGAGCAAGTTCAAGCATAACCTGGGCAAGCATACCAATGTTAAAGAAAGTGTGAAGGACCTGGGTTCATTCCCCAGTACACCTCCAAATCTTGTAGACATGAAACATGAAAATGTTCAAGGATTTTTTTCCAACAGAGGAATAGGTTTAATTTGTTCCACCAAAAGGGGACTAAAAAAGTGCCTTTTAAGAAGCTCCCCCGCATTAGGTTTATTGGTACATTTAACCTAAACTTTTTTTGGGGGGATTGGAGATTGAACCTGGGACCTTGCACTTGGGAGAAAGGTGGAGGAACCACTGAGCTAAATCCCCAGCCCTAAAGAAAACCTTTTAAGAAGTTTGAAGGGCTGAGGCTGTAGCTCAGTGATAAAGCATGTGCTTAGCATGCATGAGGCCCTATGTTTGATCTCCAAAACCAGAACCCAAACAAAAAAGCAATTAGAAACATGCCAAACTGTTAATAGTGCTTATCCTTAAATGACAGAAAATTTTACTTTCTCTATTTTTAAATAGTTCTAATGTTCTATAATGATAAATCATTTCCATAATGTATGCGAAACATATTTTAAATAAGAAGGTGGAAAAGAAAACCATGAAGTTCAACAAACCTGAGAAGTGTTCTTACCGTTCAACAGGCACCAGCTTCTTCCACTGGGCCACGAGGTCCCTGGCAAAGCTCCCAACTTGCTCGTGCTTTCGAAAGCTATTTACTGTTTTCCCGACCCCAGTCTCCTACAAATTCAACAAAGCGACTGATTGAGGATTAAGGAACAAAGCTCACTATACCTTGCAATTTTCATTACTAAATTACTTAGTTGCATGTTCCCTAATCACTAATGACACATAGTAACAAAGCAGAATAATTCAGAGAAACATTTTATTGAAACACTTTCAGAACTTTAACAACAGTAACATGAGTGACTATGGCAGATATTAGGCATTGCCTCTAGGGGGTTTGCATGTAGCATCCCAGTTTTTACCTTTGAGGCAGGAATCAGCCTCATTTCACAGAGGCACAGCCTAAAGTCATAGAATTTGGATTTGAACTCAGAACTAGTAAGTCCCAAAGCCAACGTTCTTTTCATTCATTTTAATTTTTCATAAACGTCACATAATGGTGTATTGAGGGCACAGCTCAGAGATGAACCACTTGCCTTGCATGTGAGATGCCCTGGGTTGATTCCCCTGCATCCCTCCCAACAACAAAAATCATATAACATTAAATTTGCTAACCAGTTAAAGTATATAAAGTATGTCATTTAAAGTATATAATTCTGTGGTTTCAGAACACTCCTAATATTGTACAACCATTTCCGTAATCTCATTCCAGAATATTTCCACTACCCTAAAAAGAAGGCCTGTTTATCTCAATTTCCCCAGTCCCTGGCAATCACTCATCTACTTTCTGTCTATGGATTTGCTTGTTCTGGAGATTTCATATAAAAAGAATCATACAATATGTAGCCTTTGCCCATCTTCTAGTGCTTCCTGTACACTCTCCAGTGGGAAAGAGATGGGATAAAAGTCATACAATTCTTACCGCAAGAATGTCTACTGTAATAGGTAAGGTGGAGAGTTTCTTCAAATACTTCAATAGCTGCAGAGAGAATAAAACACATTAATTTCTCTAGCCATAGTCACTGGAACAAATAGAAATATCTGATGGTTAAATACTCAGTGCTACAAGTTTTACAGCACTGAGTATAGTTATTACCTATTTCACAAGTGTGAGAATGGGCTCAGAAAAGTTACGTTACCTGCCCTGGGGTGGAAGCAGGGAGGGCTCACTTGAGTCTGTGGATTTAGATTCCATGCTTTCAAATGCTATTCTATAACAGAGAAGTAAGTTGTGGAGAAGAAAATCAAAGCCTATTAATTCTGATAAAAGTCATCAGCAATTATCAGCCCCAGGTTTGTTTTTTGGGTTGTTTAGTTTTTTGTTTTGAGACAGGGCCTTGCTACGTAGCCCAGGCTGGCCTTGAACTCATAGCAGTCCTCCTTTCTCAGCCTCCCAAGTGCTAGGATTGCAGGTGTGCACCAGAACATTCAGATCAGCCCCAGTTTTGACTGAGTATTTATGAGAAAGGCTACCAACTTTAGGAAAGTAACCCACAGACATGACACAGAGGAAAGTAAAAAGAAGAGGCTTGTATTAAGAGACAGTACCGGGCTGGGGATTTATCCCAGTGGTTTCACCGCCTGCCTTGCAAGCTCAAGGTTCCGAGTTCGATCCCCAGTACCAAAAAAGCAAAAACAAAGAAAAAGAGAAACACTACCATGTTTCCAGAAGGGATATACAGTGTTTAACAAAGTGCTTTTTAAATACAAGTGGAAGCTAAGTGTCACGGTGGGAGTTTTTCTGGGCTACATAGTAAGACCCTGTTTTGAAAGTAAAAGAAAGAAGTGGAAAGCCAGCAATAATTGTCAGCTGCCAGAATCAGAACTGTGCTCTTAATAAACACAATAGACCTGGGCAGATTAGAAAAGAGATCTAGGTTTGGCCATATTTCCTTTCTATAGTCCCCAAAACTAGGTCAAAATTGGTACAGTAGAGTTAAAATAGAGTTCTAAAGTCAGAGAGGTTTCAGTTTGGCTGTTACCTTCTTGCCAGGTGATCTTGTGCAACTCAGTGACCTCTCTGAACCTGAATCACTTCATCTGAAAAACAAGGAACTGATCCCTGTCCCTACTTCACAAGCCATGAGGATTCACTGAGACAACTACGTGCAGGACTTGGTCACAGTGTCTGCAACACTGTAAAGCTCGACACATGCTTATTATTAATCATTTTATCCACCAGCTGACAGCATTTTAAAATGTTCTACCCTTGATTCTCAACCCCATATTGCTCAACCAATTCCCACTTATACTATTTCTACCATAAGTCATGACTGGCTAAGCCTGTCTGGGAAATGTTCACCTGCATATAAAAATATGTACCATACAAGGAGTGCTACAATGTACAAGTAGTTCAAAATATATAACTGTGGCTATCTTCACATTTAATTAGAAAACAAGATCTTTATTTCTCCATTTATAACCTGTGCTATAACTGATAAGCCATATTCCCACACTTGATTTTAGCCAAAAGGCTGAGAAGCGATTGATATGCCATATTCCTAATAAGTGCTGTAACAAGTATGTGTTTCTGCTCATATTACTGCTGTAATTACTAAACACGGTCACCAGGCAGAGCAATCGGATCACAGGTAATAATCTTGCTTGGGAACAAGAGGCCAAGTGCTATATCCAGGGAAGGTGAAACTTCACAGTTGAGTGAAAAGCATCCTCCACTTCAAATTCCATCTCCACCATCATCTAACTCAGAAAAATAGTTTATGTGCATTTGTCACCCATGCTATGGGTACAAGGATTCATGCCAATCCCCTTAAAAGGAAAATTTAGAATTACTAAAAAGATATAAAACAGGCAATTTCCCCCTAATGTGATTCCCCGGAAGGAACAGGTGGGGAATATTTATATACCATCCTGCATGTCAGCCACTATGCAAAATTCTCTCATTTGATCCTTACCATACACTGGTTATTATTCTCCCCATTTTACAGATATTAAAACTGAGCCCCCAGTGAAGTTGCATAATTCACCTAGCAAGCTAAGAAGCAGCCAACATAATACCATCCTTGGGAAAGAAAACAGAGCAACAACTCAAATACCTATCTCACAGCATGCTTGGGACAAGACACAGGAGCTTCTCCTCAGTTTAAAGTCCACGTGGTAAAGGTCACCAAACGGACAAAAAGTCCCAAGGCCTCTACAAGGCCAATAGAGGAACTATGGGGCCAGAATTCACCAAGGGTGTGTTTACCTTAAAGCCCAGCACTAAAGGCAAAAGTAAATGCTGCCTCTCTGCTTCACTTCAGGTTAGTAGGAATGACTTAAAAGCAGACAAAACTAAAATCCTCAAGACTTTCAAAGTGACTTAGCCTAAGAGAAGAGAAATACTTTACTCCATCACTATTTTCAGTGAACTTCAAGAAAGTCTGAAGGATAACAAGGCAAACCTAGGTAGTATAACTGATAGCAGGCTACTGAGCAATATCAAGCACATGCTTAGAAATCTTGGTTGTCTCATGCATACTACTTCAACTCAAAAAGCAAAGAAAAAAAAAAAAAAGCTTTCAGTGCTGATCCCATCTATCAATCTGTGTTCTTGATAGTTTCTCCATTCAAAATGTAACACAGAGCAGGTGACTGTCTCAAATAATTTCCAATTCAGTGGCAGAACAGAAACCAAGTAGCTCTGGTCTACTTCATACTTTCTCTCCCAAGGCAGATGAACTTAAAGTGAAAACAGTTTTACTTAAACATCAATGCTTAACACCAGAAGCTCCATGAACACAGGTGTGGAAATCCACCTTTGGTTAATAATGGCTTGAAAACAAGATTTGGTTGCAAATTCAATACTGCTCTGTAATCATCTGGCAATTTCAAGAACAACCTGTGGGAGCTTGTTGGGTTAACAGAAGGCTGAGAGGGAGGTGGCCAGTGTGCCAGCTTGCAATTTTCCCTCTGCAAGTTAGCTCATTTCTGAATGTCAACTATTATGCCCTTTGCAAAAAATGACCTCCCAACATTTTCTCTTCTTCATAATGTTCATTTCACAACACAAAGCCGGAAGTTCGTGGTGATTTTCTATTTTTCACAGTGCTGGAGACTGTGGTCTCAAGCATGCTAGGCAAGCACTGTGCCACTAAACTGCAACACCCGCCCCCCACCCAGCCCTCGGGTAATTTTCTACCTGGGAAGAGAAAGCACAAATGCTTTTTAAAAGTTACTAATGGTTGAAGTAAGTCTACTTGAACCTTTTCCTAACTTGGTATTGCATCATAGCAACTACTAGAAAAACTATTTTAAAAGCTAAATCTTTGCGGAAAAATAACTATAGGTATAGAGCATTAAAAAAAAAAATCTGGTAGAAATAAAGAGCATAATACTGCTCTTAAGATTTTAAGGGCTGGGGATTTAGCTCAGTGGTTCGGTGGCCTGCCTTGCAAGCGCAAGGACCCAAGTTCAATCCCCGGTACCAAAAAAAACCAAAAAAAGTCAATTACAAATCTTAGCGGTTCAGGAAAACAAACTAGTGCTCGGAAATAATGACCACTTATCAGATGTCTACAAAGAGTTATTGTAAAAAGAAACTTGTAAATATGCCTGACCATAGAAAATATAACAGAAAGAAAGTGTAACAACACAATTGGAAGCAGTTCAGTCTTCACAGATTTATAACATGGCTTCCTGAAGAAGTGGATCTTTGAGCTGGGTATGAATCAGTAGTTAAAAAGGAGCCTGATGGTGAGAGGCTGTGCGCAACATTGGGAAATGGAGAAACCTCCCTGTGTCAGGCTAGATAACCAAATAAAGCAAAAGGGGCCTTTCAAGAAAAATTCTGGAAAATGATGATTAACATCTGCTGAGCAGTTATATCCTGCTGGCACCTCAGTTTTTTAGTTTAGACCCAGGAAGAAGTAGAAGAATAGACAGGCTCAGCAGAGAACTCCCCCAATGTCCATAGCTGGTAAATGGATCGGACCGAATTTCACCACTTTTTCTCCACCGCGTGGCCCCATAACTTCCTCTTCCACCAGGACCCGCGCTCAGACTCACGTCTTTGGAACTGCGCGCCCTGGCCAGGATGCTGACCGAGCGTCACACCCTTACGGTTCTCACCGAAGTACTGCAGTGAAAACAGTTCTAACACCCACCAGACTCCCAGAGACAACCGAGGCCGACACTCGAGCGATGGGTCGGTAGAAAAGGGCATTTAAGAGTTCCTAAAAGCGACAAAGACCAGGTAAGCGCGTCTGGAAATGGTTGCCTGCCACTTGCAGCAAGGAGAACCAGGAGCCCTCGCAGGGAGGCAGGAAGGGTAGCAAGGGTCCCTAACCACAACTTCGGTGCCCGCCGCGCCCGCCCCGGGAGCACAGCTGTGGCGGGGGCTCATTGCGCTCCGTCCTGAAAAGGATTCGCCGGGAAGGCGAGAGGTCCACAGGCGCGGTCCAGGGCAGAGTGAAGCCTCCCGGCCTGCACCGCCGC